CTCCTTTCGAGCAGCGATTTCCCGCCCAGCTCGACGCCCGGCAGCGGCTTCTGGGGATTCGGCGCGCCGAGGAAGTCCATCATCGTCGGAAAGATGTCCAGGAGCGTCGCCAGCCCCGTCTCCACGGACCCGCGCTTCAGCCCCGCCGGCAGCGCGCCGCCGCCTAAAATCAGCGGCACGCGCGCCGACGCCTCGTACATGGAATTCTTCCAGACCTGGCGGTGCTCCATGTTCATCTCGCCGTGGTCGCTCGTGAAGACGACGAGCGCGTCGTCCCAGAAGCCCCGAGCCTTGGCGACGTCGCCGACGCGGCCCAGCAAGAAGTCGGCCTCGGCGCACATGGCGTAGTACGTCCGCTGCACCTTGGCGACGTCGTCGTCGGAGAAGCGGCCCGCGACGGCCTTGGACGAGCTCTCGTAGGCGTCGTAGGGGTGCATGTCGTCGACGTCGATCCAGTCGCCCTTGCCCGCGCCGGTCCAGTTGACGGCCTTGAGCCACGTCGCGTTCGTCTCGAAGGACGGGTGCGGGATGTTGAGCGAGCAGTGGAGGAAGAAGGGCGCGTCCGAATCCCGATTCCGCAGCCACGCGTCGCAGTTGTCGATGGCGACCCAGTCCTCGGGGTGCACGTGGTCGTTGTCGTCGTTCGTGATGGCCATGGGGTTCGGCTTCGTCGGCTTGCGGACGTCCGCGGCGCGGGTGACGATCGGCAGCGAGGGCCCGCTGTGGAAGCCCGTGCCCCAGGTCACGTTCGGCGTGTTGCCGTGGCGCTGCATGGCGTTCGCGCCCATGTCGATCTTGCCGATGACCGCGAGATCGTAGGCCGGCGCGACGGCCGCGACGCCGTCGAAGAGCGACCCGTTGTGCTTCTGATCCGCGGCCCAGGCTCCGCACGTCTTTTCATCGTAGAGCGACGCGCACGTCGCGTCCACGGCGCCCGAGGGCTCCGCGGCGATGCCGTTGCCGTTGTCGAAGGCGCGGCACTGGTCCGTGCGCAGGCCCGTGAGCATGGCCGCGCGGCCGGGCACGCACTGCGGCGCCGGCGTGTACGTCCGCGCGAAGTTGATGCCCTCCTTCGCCAGCGACTCCAGGAACGGCAGCGCGACGCGCGACGACACGGGCGACGTCGGGTCGACGACGCGCCCGTCCATGGAGTCGACCATGAGGAAGAGCACGTGCGGGGGCTTTTTTGCGGCGGCTGCCGTCGCGCAGAGGACGAGGAGAAGGGGTTTGGGAGCCATGGTGGGATCGTGAGCCGCGAGCTGATTGCGCAGAACGCAATTGCGCGTGCCAGCGGAAGACAAGAGCTCGAGACGAAGAGCTTTGCTGCCTGACTTGCCACAACATTGCCACAGATTGGCGAATGAAGGCTCACTGAAGCCAACCTTGAAACGCGATTATGGCTGCGATGGCCGCCGCTCCGCCCATCGTCGTGCCCGGCGACGTCGTCGGCTCCACGACAACGCAGACCAGCGGCGCGGGCACCTACGTGCGCGACGGCGCCATCGTCGCGTCGCTCGTCGGGAGCCTGACCGTCGGCGCCGACGGCGTCGTGCGCGTCGCGCGCGCCGGGTCGCGGCCGGCCATCGGCGTCGGCACGGTCGTCGTCGGGACCGTGTCGCGCGTCGGCGCCATGCAGGTGAACCTGGACGTCGTCGCCGCGGACGGCGCGCTCGTCGACTTCCCCGCGCGCGCCGCGCTGCGCCGCGAGGACGCGCTGCC